AGAAGGATTAGGGTCCACCCCAGTGACCTCATTTTACCTCAGTTACCTCTTTAAAGACCCTTTCTTCAAATATAGTGTGAAGTACTAGGGGTTAGGACTTTAACATATGAACTTTGGAGTGCGGTAGGGGATGCAATTCAGGCCATAACAATTTGACTCCACCATTATGGTCTCATATAGAATAGTTTCACTGTTGTAAAAATATCCTGGGCTCCATGTATTCATCTCTCTCCCCCAGAATCCCTGTTAACCACTGATCTGTTTACTATCTCCATAATTTTGCCTTTTCCAATGTCATGTCATTGGAATTATGTAGTATATAGCCTTTTGAAACTGCTTTTCCACTTAAGTATGTATTTAAGGTTCTTCCACGTCTTTTCATGGCTTGATCACTCATTTCCTTTTGTCACTGCATATTCATTCACTTTGAATTTCAACAATTGTATTTTTAATTTCTAGAAGTTCTATTTGATGCCTTCACAGATTTTACTTTTTTTTAGGTCTACAGAATTTTTTTTTTTTTTTTTTTTTTTTAAGACAGAGTCTTACTCTGTCACCCAAGCTGGAGTGTGGTCGTGTGATCTCAGCTCACTGTAAACTCTACCTCCCGGGTTCAAGAGATTTTTCCTACTCCAGCCTCCCAAGTAGCTGGGACTACAGGCTTGCACCACCACACCTGGCTAATTTTTTATATTGTAGTAGAGACAGGGTTTTGCCATGTTGCCCAGGATGGTCTTGAACTCCTCAGCTCAGGTAATCCATCCACCTTGGCCTCCCAAAGTGGTAGGATTACAAGCACGAGCCACCACACCTGGCCAGATTTGACTTTTTATTTTGCATGTTGCATGCCTGTTTTTGTGATTCCATGTGTTATTTCTTTAAACATTTCATGCATAGTTACTTCTGTATTCTGTGGCTGACAGTTCTAATACCTGAAGTCCTCAGGGATCAAAATCTGTTTGTTGCTTCTGTTCTTACTTGTGGTGACTTCTTTTCTTAGATTTTTGGTGATCCATGACTGTGAGCTCGTAATGGTTGTTCTTCGTCATTGGCTATCCTGGAGGCCTAAAGTGGAGAATGCTTTCCTCCAGAAAATTTTGGCATTTGATTAATCTGAAAACCAGGGGGTACCACTGACATGGAATCATTTTAGTCTCTTTTGAGGGTTGTGTTAATGTGGGAGTTTCAGATTCATCTCCATTTTGCCACATCATAATGGACGCTTGCTTTCAGGGCAGCCTCACTTGCTTCTTGCTTATTGGTTTTAGCTTGCTTTTAGTTTATGGATGATTTCTGTCATTACTATGAGTCAGTGAGCACATTCTGAGAGTCCATTTTATCTAGGATTTCATCGTTTTGTAGTTGTATATCCCTTCAGACTGTCTAGTTGGGCATCTTGCCAAAGCAGGATTCAGTTGCCTGAGCTTAGGTATTGACCAATAGAATGATCGTGATCATGTTAGATACCTTCCAGTTCTCTTGGGCATCCTCTCAATTTCATTCTCAATCATTCACTCTTCAGAATCAAACTTTGAGCCTTACGTAAGTGACAGCATCCCATGCTATTGGGAATGAAAAGTGACGATGGTTAGTTTCAGTACTGCCTGCATGTGCTAATCTGGATGACCTTTTCTTTCCCTGTGGTAGCACTGATGAAAATTAGATTTGAATTTATTTCTGAGAAAGAAAAATATGAAAGATGGATGTAGTAACCAAAATGGCACATGATTGCAATTTAAATCTCAAATTGGCCATTTAGCAGTTATGTGATCAATACAGATGATGTAACTTCTTGAGCCTCAGAATTCTCAGTCGTATAGAATGACAAAATCTACTACTTATTGATCATTTACAGTATGCTAAGCACTATGCTAAATTTTTTGCATATATTTCTTATTTAATATTCAGTAACAACTTTATGAGATATAATTATTATGCCTCTTTTTTTTTTTTTTTTTTTGAGACGGAGTTTCGCTCTTGTTACCCAGGCTGGAGTGCAATGGCGCGATCTCGGCTCACCGCAACCTCCGCCTCCTGGGTTCAGGCAATTCTCCTGCCTCAGCCTCCGGAGTAGCTGGGATTACAGGCACGTGCCACCATGCCCAGCTAATTTTTTGCACCTTTAGTAGAGACGGGGTTTCACCATGTTGACCAGGATGGTCTCGATCTCTTGACCTCGTGATCCACCCGCCTCGGCCTCCCAAAGTGCTGGGATTACAGGCTTGAGCCACTGCGCCCGGCGCGCCTCTTTTTTTTTTTTTCTTTTTTAGATGGAGTCTTGCTCCCATTGCACAGGCTGGAGTGCTTTGGCTCCATCTCAGCTCACTGCAACCTTCACCTCCTGGGTTCAGGCAATTCTTCCTCAGCCTCCAGAGTAGCTGGGATTACAGACGTGCACCACCACACCTGGCTAACTTTTGTATTTTTAGTAGAGATGGGGTTTTGCCATATTGGCCAGAATGGTCTCAATCTCTTGACTGGTGATCTGCCCAGTTAATTTTTGTGTTTTAATAGAGATGGGGTTTTGCCATGTTGGCCAGGCTGGTCTTGAACGCCTGACCTCAGGTGATCCACCCGCCTTGGCCTCCCAAAGTGCTAGGATTACAGGCATGAGCCACCGTGCATGGCCTATTATGCCTCTGTAAAGATGAGAAAACTGAAGCATAGAGAGATTAAGTAAAAATGGGTTATTAATAAGGCCAAATTTAAATGCGATAACACATGTGGTATGCCAGGCACATATAAGGTGGTCAGTAAATAGCAGCTAGCATTATGATCTCTAATAATTTTCGAATATAAAATTCTCTTATGTGATATGATCTAAATAAGATTAACTTGCTCAACAAATATTTTATGGAGCACTTACTGTAACCATGTGTACTGCTAAATGGTAAGGAAAGAGAAAGGAATAAGACAGATATGGTCCAGAGATGGACACATAAACATTTACAAGTCAGCCTGGGGAGTGCTGTGATGGAGCAAGAACAGGGTGCTTTTGGAGTCAGGGAAGATATACCAGAAGAAATGCCCTGTAGGCTTATATCTGAAGCCTTGGATGTGAGGGACAGAGGATTTGCACAGGTGGCAGTGATTATGAAAGCCTAGAGGGGAGAGAGTGCTCTACTCTCATTTAAAGAAGTGAAAGGGCTGGATGTGCTGGCTGATGCCTGTAATCCCAGCACTTTGGGAGGCTGAGGAGGCTGGTGGATCACCTGAGCTCAGGAGCTCAAGACCAGCCTGGCCAACATAGCAAAACCCTGTCTCTACTAAAAATACGAAAATTATAGGCTGGGCATGGTGGCTTACGCCTGTAATCCCAGCAGTTTGGGAGGCTGAGGCGGGTGGATCATGTGAGGTCAGGAGTTTGAGACCAGACTTACCAATATGGAAAAACGCTGTCTTTATTAAAAATACAAAATTAGCTGGGCATGGTGGTGCATGCCTGTAATCCCAGCTAATCAGGAAGATGAGGCAGGAGAATTGCTTGAACCTGGGAGGTGGAAGTTGCATGAGCTGAGATTGCCTCATTGCACTCCAGCCCTGACAACAAGAGTGAAACTCCATCTCAAAAAAAAAAAAAAAAAATTATTTCTGATGTGCTAAACAAAACTTTGGAGGTTAATTAGCAGTATGACTTATTTAGTCATTGCTGCCAGTCACCTTCAAACAAACAAGTAAAAAAAAAAAAAATTAGCTAGGCATGGTGGCAGGCATCTGTAATCCCAACTACTTGGGAGGCTGAGACAGGAGAATCACTTGAACCTGGGAGGTGGAGGTTGCAGTGAGCTGAGATCACACCACTACACTCCAGCCTGGGTGACAGTGAGATTCTATCTCAAAAAAAAAAAAAAAAAAAAAAAAAAAAGTCGAAGTATAGGGTGTGTGTATATAAGATTTTAGGAAAAGTGTGGAAAGTGAGGCTGGAGAGGTGGGCAGGTGCCATATGCTGAAAGGCTTTGTAAACCCTGCTGCAAGAGTTGGACCTATGTTGAAGAGCATTGGAAAAACCTTTGAAAGTTTTTTTTTTTTTTCCCCCAGGAGTAACATGATTTAGAAAGACCATTCTGTGCTGTTCTACAGAATATGCTCAGGAGTTTAAAAAAATAAAATAGAGGCCAGGCATGGTGGCTCACATCTGTAATCCCAGCACTTTGGGAAGCCAAGGTGGGCGGATCCCCTGAGTTCAGGAGTTCAAACCAGCCTGAACAACATAGTGAAACCCTGTCTCTACTAAAAATACAAAAAGTAGCTGGGCATGGTGGCAGGTGCCTGTAATCCCAGCTACTCTGGTGGCTGAGGCAAGAGAATCACTTGAATCTCAGAGGCAGAGGTTGCAGTGAGCCGAGGTCGTGCCACTGCATTCCAGCCTGAGTGACAGAGGGAGACTCCCTCTCAAAACAAATAAAATACAAAGATTACTCTGGCTGAATTTTTGGAATAATAATAACAATAGCTTTAAATACTTCACTTACTCCTTATACTAACACTTGGAGGTAGGTCTTATTATCTTGTTTTTACAGATGAAGGGGAAAAACAAATTGGGACTCAGAGAGCTTACTTCACTCACAAAAATTCATACACTTGATAGGAAGTGGAGTTGCGGAATCTTCTGAATCTAAAGCTGTATTCCTGAATCACCTTCAATTAGTTAGGATTTGTTACGACCTGCTTTATGTTTACTCTGTGGGAAATTCTCATTCATTCTTATAGTATTGTTGGCATATTCTGTGATAGTTTACAAAGTACTTATTGTCATTTTTAAATTTAAACTCCTTTGAAACTGTGAATTAGGTAGTGGTATCTCCGTTTTGCAGGTATGAAAACTGAGGCTTGAGATATGGTCCCATACACCTAGAAGGTGGTGGAGCTGGGACTTGAACATCAAGCTCTTGACAGAAGAAAACCTTCTTAGTGGGTATCTTGTGAACATGCACACTTCCTTCTTGGGTCTTGTGCCCTTTGTTCATTGTGTGAATGCTTATAAAGTTCTTTCCTTCCAGGTTTTGGAGATCATATTCATTGGAGGACACTGGAAGATGGGAAGAAAGAAGCAGCTGCCAGGTACAAGACATGGTTTTAGGTCATTTATGGTGGTATAACACTTTTCAGATACCAACTTTTTTGTTTTTGTTTTTAGAGATGGGTTTCTTCATATTGGTCAGGCTGGTCTCAAACTCCTGACCTCAGGTGATCCACCCACCTTAGCTTTCTAAAATGCTGGGATTACAGGCATCAGCCACAGTGCCTGGCCTCAGATATCAATGTAACATTAATTTCAGGTGAAGGGCTATACCAGCTGAATAGAGCAACAACTGAATGGTTGCCTAATTACAGCAACTGCAATAATATTGGCGAACATTTACAGTTGAGCCTTGAACAACATAGTTTTTTGTTTTTTGGCAAGAGTCTTGCTCTGTCACCTGGAGTGCAGTGATATGATCTTGGTTCATTGAAACCTCCACCTCCCAGATTCAAGCGATTCTTGTGCCTCAGCCTCCCAAGTAACTGAGATTACAGGCACGCGCCATCATGCCTGGCTGAATTTTGCAGTTTTTAGTAGAGATGGGGTTTTACCTGGTCTTGAGCTCCCGACCTCAGGTGATCCGCCTGCCTCAGCCTCCCAAAGTGCTGGGATTACAGGTATGAACCACCATGCCTAGCTGAACAACATGGGTTTGAACTACACAGGTCCACTTATATGTGGATTTTTTTCAATAATAAATGTATTGGAAAATGTTTTGTAGATTTCAAGCAATTTGAGAAAACTTGGAGATGAATGGCATAGCCTAGAAATCTCAAAAGACTTAAGAAAAAGATATGTTACAAGTGCATAAAATTTATGTAGATAATAGTCTATATTATCATTTACTACCATAAGACATACAGAAATCTACTATAAAAAGTTAGAATTTATCAAAACTTCTGCACACAGGCTGGGTGCAGGGGCTCATGCCTGTAATCACAGCACTTTGGTAGGCTAAGACAGGCAGATCACTTGAGCCCAGGAGTTTGAGACCAGTCTGGGCAACATGGTGAAACCCCTCCTCTACAAAAAATACCAGCTACTTGAGGGGCTGAGGCAGGAGAATCGCTTGAACTCGGGAGGTGGAGGTTGCACTGAGCCGAGATTGCACCACTGTACTCCAGCCTGGGTGACAGAGTGAGACTCTGTCTCAAAATAAATAAAAAGTAAAAAAATAAGAACAGGCCGGGCGTGGTGGCTCAAGCCTGTAATCCCAGCACTTTCGGAGGCCGAGGCGGGTGGATCACGAGGTCGAGAGATCGAGACCATCCTGGTCAACATGGTGAAACCCCGTCTCTACTAAAAATAAAAAAAATTAGCTGGGCATGGTGGCACGTGCCTGTAATCACAGCTACTCAGGAGGCTGAGGCAGGAGAATTGCCTGAACCGGGAGGCGGAGGTTGCAGTGAGCCGAAATCGCGCCATTGCACTCCAGCCTGGGTAACAAGAGTGAAACTCCGTCTCAGAAAAAAAAAAAAAAAAAAGAACATGAAAAACTTCATCATACACCTATATAACATACATGGTGCTATTTGGAGAAGGAAAAAATGTAAACAAATGTAAAGATGCCATATTAAATCATAATTGCAGGCCAGGTGTGGTGGCTCATTGCCTGTAATCCTAGCACTTTGGGAAGCTGAGGTGGGCAGATCACGAGGTTAGGAAATTGAGACCAACCTGGCTAACACAGTGAAATCCCATCTCTACTAAAAATACAAAAAATTAGCCGGGCATGGTGGCTCGCACCTGTAATCCCAGGTATTTGGGAGGCTGAGACAGAAGAATTGCGTGAACCCAGGAGGCGGAGGTTGCAGTGAGCCAAGATCGTGCCATTGCACTCCAGCATGGACAACAGAGTGAGACTCCATGTCAAAATAAATAAATAAAAGTAAAACAAAACAAAACAAATTATAACTACATAAAAATTAACTGTACTATATAATATATGACTGTAATAATTTTGTAGCCACCTCCTGTTGCTATGGAGGTGAGCTGCAAGTATTGTGAGTATCTGCTTAAAATGCTGTGCAACATTAATCATCTTTAGTGGGCAGTTCGTCTCTCCAGCGTATTACGTATGGCTCTATAGTCTCTTGGCCAGGCGTGGTGACTCACACCTGTAATCCCAGCACTTTAGGAGGCCAAGGGAGGAGGATCACTTGAGGTCAGGAGTTCGAGACCAGCCTGGCCACCATAGGGAAACCCCGTCTCTACTAAAAATACAAAAAAATTAGCTGGGTGTGGTGGGCACATGCCTGTAATCCCAGCTACTTGGGAGGCTGAGGCAGGAGAATCGCTTGAACCTGGGAGACAGAGGTTGCACTGAGCTAAGATCACGCCACTGCACTCCAGCCTGGGTGACAGAGCGAGACTTGGTATCAAAAAGAAAAAGGAATCTCCACAGTTCTTGGATATTTTTCATGGTATTTAGTGCAGTATCAAAAACCTAGAATAACACCATGAAACCCATAGAAAGTGCCATAGGTGATGCTGAAAGTGTTTCTGAGAAGCAGAGAAAACTCGTGACCTTACAAGAAAAAATTGAATTGCTTGATATGTACTGTAGACTGAGGTCTGCAGAGGTAGATGCTTGCCATTTCAAAATAAATGAATCCATTTTGAAGGTCTGAGGCAGGAGGATTGCTTGAGCCCAGGAGATCGAGACCAGCTTGGGCAACAGAATAAGACCCTGTCTCTACAAAAAATTTTTTAAAAAAGATAAATCCAGCATTAGGATCAATTGTGTAAAAAAAAAAAAAAAAAAGGAAATTCATGAAGGTGTCACTGTAGCTATGTCAACAGGCACAAAAATCTTGCAGTTTTGCCAAATGCCTTTTTGTGTGCATAATATGTAGCTTTTATGTGGATACTATAAGAAAAGAATATCTGTTGACTCTAATATGATTTGAGAAAAAGCAAAGTCATTATATGGCAACTTAAAGCAAAAAGGTGAAGTATCTAAAGCTGGAGTATTTAATGCCAACAAATGATGGTTTGCTGATTTTAGAAAGAGGTTTGGCTTGGCCGGGCGCGGTGGCTCAAGCCTGTAATCCCAGCACTTTGGGAGGCCGAGGCGGGTGGATCATGAGGTCGAGAGATCGAGACCATCCTGGTCAACATGGTGAAACCCCGTCTCTACTAAAAATACAAAAAATTAGCTGGGCATGGTGGCGTGTGCCTGTAATCCCAGCTACTCAGGAGGCTGAGGCAGGAGAATTGCCTGAACCCAGGAGGCGGCGGTTGCGGTGAGCCGAGATCGCGCCATTGCACTCCAGCCTGGGTAACAAGAGCTAAACTCCATCTCAAAAAAAAAAAAAAAGAAAGAGGTTTGGCTTAGAAAATGTTAAGACAGGCTGGGCACAGTGACTCACACCCATGATACTAGCACTTTGGGAGTCCAAGGCAGGTGGATCATTTGAGGTCAAGAGTTCATGACTATCCTGGCCAACATGGTGAAACTCCATCTCTACAAAAAATACAAAAATTAGCCAGGCAGTAGTGGCTTGTGCTTGTAATCTCATCTACTCAGGGGGCTGAGGCAGGAGAATCACTTGGGCCTGGAAGGCAGAGGTTTCGGTGAGCCAAGATCGTGCCACTGTATTCCAGTGTGGGTGACAGAGTGAGACTCTCAAAAAAATTCAAGATACAGGAGAAGCAGCTTGTGCTGACCAAGAGGCGGCAAATGAATTCTTGGACACTATTAAGAAAATCACTGAAGAGAAAGGATGTCTGTCCGAACAGGTGTTTAATGTAGATTAAGGTACCCTGTTCTGGAAAAAAAATGGCAAAACGGACATTAATAGTAAGGAAGACCAACCTCTACAAAAAATACAAAAATTAGCTGGGTGTGGTGGTGCGGGCCTATTGTTCCAGCTACTCCGGAGTCTGAGATAGGACTGCTTGAGCATGGAAGATTGAGGTTGCAGTGAGCCCTGATTGCACACCACTGAACTGTAGCCTGGGCAACAAAACAAGACCCTATTCCAATTTTTGAAAAGAGAAAAAAAAATAGGAAGAGAAGCAAGTACCAAGATTGAAGGCAAGAAGAGATAGGCTAACTCTACTGTTTTATGCAAAAAACAAAAACCCCAGCACTTTGGGAGGCAGAGGTGGGACGATTACCAAAGCCCAGGAGTTTGAGTCAGGTTTGTCATTAGAACTGCCCTTGTCTATAAAGCTGCTAACCCCAGGCTTGAAGAGCAAAGATAAACACCAGCTGCCAGTGTTTAGGTTGTGCAATAAGAAGGCCTAGACAACAAGAACCCTTTTTCTGGATTGGTTCCATTGATGCTTTGTTCCTAAAGTCAGTAAGTAGACTTGCCAGTAAGAGACTGCCTTCTAAAGTTCTTTAGATATTGGACAATACTCTGGCCACCCAAAGCTCCATGAGTTCAACACCAAAGGCATAAAAGTGGTCTGTTTGCCTCCAAACACAATATTTAAATCAGCTACTAAGTCAGGGAGTGATAAGGACCTTTAAGGCTCATTGCACACAGTACTCTATGGAAAAAAGAATGTCAAAGATATGGAAGAAAACACCAGTAGAGAGAACATACCATTGTTGTAGAAATAGCTGTGAAGGCCATCAAGCCTGAAACAATAAATTCCTGGGGTATAAAACTGTGTCAAGGTGTGCACAAGACTTCTCAGGGTTTATGACAGACAATTAAAATTACGAAAGAGGCCGGGCGCGGTGGCTCAAGCCTGTAATCCCAGCACTTTGGGAGGCTGAGACGGGTGGATCACAAGGTCAAGAGATCGAGACCATCCTGGTCAACATGGTGAAACCCCGTCTCTACTAAAAATACAAAAAATTAGCTGGGCATGGTGGCACGTGCTTGTAATCCCAGCTACTCAGGAGGCTGAGGCAGGAGAATTGCCTGAACCCAGGAGGCGGAGGTTGCAGTGGGCTGAGATCGCGCCATTGCACTCCAGCCTGGGTAACAAGAGCAAAACTCCGTCTCAAAAAAAAAAAAAGAAAAAAAAAATTACGAAAGAGATTGTGGATATGGCAAAAAAAAAAAAAAAAAAAGGGTAAGGCATTAAGGGTTTTAAGATATGATCTTGGATAAATTCAAGAGCTAATAGACACCACACCAGAGGAATGAACAGCAGATAACTTGCTGGAGATGAGTGCCAGATGATGAGGAAAAACATGTAGAAGAAGCAGTGCCAGGAAACAGATCTGGCAGAAAGTTCTAATTATTTAGGACTGCTTTTGACTTATTTTACAACATGGACTCTTCTAAGATACGTATCCTGAAACTAAAGCAAAGAAAAAGGATTGGTATGATATGGAAACATTTTTAGAGAAACGAGTCTCCCTCCCACTCCCTGTCTCCCTCTAAAAAATAGAGAAATGAAAAAGCAAAAAAGTCAGAAATTATAATGTATTTCCATAAAGTTAGAACAAGTGTGCCTGCCTGTTCTGCCTCCCTTTCCACCCTCCTCTGCCTCTACCATCTTGAGACAGCAAGACCAACCTCTCTTTTTCTTCCTCCTCCTCAACCCAGCGTGAAGACAAGGATGAAGACCTTTATGATTATCCACTTCCACTTAATGAATACTAAATATATTTTTGCTTCTTTATGATTTTCTTTTTCTTTTCTTCTCCCTCCCCCCACCCCGCCCCGCTTCCTGGAAACATTTTCTTAATAACGTTTTCTTTTCTTTAGTTTTCTTTATTGTAAGAATATAATATATAATACATACGACATTCAAAATATGTGTTAACTGAATATATTATTAGTAAGGCTTCCAGTCAACAGTAGGCTATTAGTAGTTAAGTTTTAGGGAGTCAAAAGTTATATGCAGATTTTTGACTGCATGGGGGGTCAGTGCCCCTCATCCTGGGTTTGTTCAAGGGTCAGCTGTACTAAGTGCTACTGTGCATTAGGCATTAAATTATGCAAATCAACTCATTTAATCCTCACAACTTTGAGGTAGGTGTTATTGTTATCTTAATTTTAGAGAAGACAAAAGTAAAGCACAGTTTTTCTAAGTTTACCAAATAACTTGCCCAAGATCACAGCTAGCAAGTGGCAGACCTAAGCACTCTGGCTTCAGAGCCTGCTCTTTAAACTTGTATACCACACTGCCTACTAAAGTCAAGTTGAATAGTCTAAAGTCTCAAGTAGGTTTAGTTTATGCACAGACAATTCAGTGTATGAGGAGGGAAAGGCAGGGCATGAGAGGGAAAGCTAAGCACTGGTCAGTGTTTCCTTTTTTTTGTATTTTTGAGATGAAGTTTCACTCTTGTTGTCCAGGCTGGAGTGCAATGGTGGCACGGTCTCAACCCACTGCAATCTCCACCTCCTGGGTTCAAGCAATTCTCCTGCCTCAACCTGTTAAGTAGCCAGGATTACAGGCGCATGCCACCACACCTGGCTAATTTTTTAAAATATATTTTTGGTAGAGACAGGGTTTCACCATGTTGGCCGGAGTGGTCTCGAACTCCTGACCTCAGGTGATCCACCCTCCTTGGTCTCCCAAAGTGCTGGGATTACAGGCATGAGCCACCGTGCTGAGGCTGTGTTTACATTTATTTAACCCTCACAACAACCTACTAAATTGGTACACCTGTGAAATAACTGTTGCTATTTTATAGAAGGGGAAATTGAAGTACAGAAAAGTTATATAATTTGCCAATAATTATAACGCTAGTAAGTGGCACAGCCAAGACTTGAATCTTTTTTACTATACAGTACCAGAGAGATGCAAAGACCCCAGTATATGTGCACCTGCAGTATACACACATACACAGGCACAGTCATATTTCTGCACCTACCATTCTATAGTGCTTGCTGTTTATAGAAGAGATCCAACAGTTCCATAGCCCTGGGTGTCAAACCTTCTGCTAGAATAGAGTTGCCAGATTGAGCAAATAAAAATAAAGGATGACCAGGCACTGTGGCTCATGCCTTTAATCCTGGCACTTTGGGAGGCTGAGGCTGGTGAATCACCTGAGGTCAGGAGTTCAAGACCAGCCTGGCCAACATGGGGAAACTCCTTCTCTACTAAAAGTATAAAAAGTAGCTGGGTATGGTGGCAGACACTTGTTAGCTGAAACAGAAGAATCACTTGAACCTGGAGGCAGAGGTTGCAGTGAGTTGAGATCATGCCACTGCACTCCAGGCTGGGCAACAGAGTGAAACTCTGTCTCAAAAATAATAATAATAAAGGATGCAGGCCAGGCATCTTGGCTCATACCTGTAATCCTAGCACTTTGGGAGGCAGAGGTGGTGCAATTACTTGAGCCCAAGAGTTTGAGACCAGCCTGAGCAACATACTGAAACTTCATCTCTAAAAAAGTAAGTAATAATAAAAAATTAAAGATGCCCAGTTAAATTTGAAATTTAGATAAATTTTAAATATATCCATGCAATATGAGACACACTTAAGCTTAAAAATGTTGGTGTTGATCTGAAATTTAAATTTAACTGGGCATTCTGTATTTATCTGGCAACCCTACTAAGGAGAAAAATTCCCATTTGTCTTTCAAGTTCTAAGTCAAATGAATATTCCTACATTAAGTCTTCAATGATTTCTCTGGGTAGTTTGTTTTTCCCTTCTGTTCTTTTATAACCTCACCTGCATCTATCCATTATAGTATTTATTACTCTGATTGTAGGTGCCTGATCCTTCCCATTCAGACCTTTTATCTTTTTTTTTTTTTTTTTTTTTTGAGGCAGAGTCTTGTTCTGTCACCAGGAGCCAGGCTGGAGTGCCGTGGCGCGATCTCCGGTCACTGCAGTCTCCGCCTCCTGCAGACCCTTTATCTTTTGTGGGGAAACAGTTTTATGTTTATCTTTGAATTCCCAACCATGAAGATGTTGAATGATTGAAATGGTAATTGAATAAACATTTACTGAGAGCCAGTAGGTGTAAGAGGAGGAATGAAGGAGAAAGAGCATTTATGAATTGCCTTCTATATGCTAAATATAGTGCTGATTGCTTATAATATTTAATGCCCCTGAGGCCTTATTAATAAATGGACGGGCAGGCTTTGGCCGCAGGGAGATCACATTCTCCTGAGGCCTATAACACTTGGCATAAATAACTGATGCCATTCTAGTTTCTGCATCTCCTTTCTAAGAGCTTTCTCCTAGTTGGCATAGAACTCCTGTTTCCATAGAAACAAGGTCTGTAAAAGTCAAGGGATAGGAAGAGCAGTTTGCACTTCCGGCGTACGTCGGGACGCGGACAACCCGGAAGTTGACGCAGCGCGGTGGTATATGGTCGCTCCCTGAGAGGATGCCGCTCGTGGTGGTTTGCGGGCTGCCGTACAGCGGCAAGAGCCGGCGTGCTGAAGAGTTGCGCGCGGCCCTGGCGGCCGAGGGCCGCGGGGTGTACGTGGTGGACGACGCGGCTGTGCTGGGCGCAGAGGACCCAACCGTGTACAGCGATTCTGCCCGTGAGAAGGCACTGCGTGGAGCTCTGCGAGCCTCCGTGGAGCGGCACCTGAGTCGTCACGACGTGGTTATCCTGGACTCGCTTAACTACATCAAAGGCTTCCGCTACGAGCTCTACTGCTTGGCGCGGGCAGCGCGCACCCCGCTGTGCCTGGTCTACTGCGTACGTCCCGGCGGCCCGAGCGCTGGACCTCAGGTGGCGGGCGCGAACGACAACCCGGGCCTGAACGTCAGTGTGAGTTGGCGGCCACGCGCTGAGAAGGACGGGGGACCCCTGGCGGCCGGCAGCAGTGTCCTCAGGGAACTGCATACTGCGGGCTACGTAGTAAATGGAAGTGCCCAGGCCGACCTACTTAAGGAACAGGAGCTAGAAGAAACCGGGGCTGCAGAGTCACCAGCTCTCGTGACTCCGGAATCAGAGAAATCTGCAAAGCATGTGTCCAGTGCCTTTTACCCTCCCGAACTCCTGGAAGCCCTAACTCTGCGCTTTGAGGCTCCCGATTCTCGGAATCGCTGGGACCGGCCTTTATTCACTTTGGTGGGCTTAGAGGAGCCGTTACCCTTGGCGGAGATCCGCTCTGCCCTGTTTGAGAACCGGGCCCCACCACCCCATCAGTCTACGCAGTCCCAGCCCCTCGCCTCCGGCAGCTTTCTGCACCAGTTGGACCAGGTCACTAGTCAAGTATTGGCCGGACTGATGGAAGCGCAGAAGAGCGCTGTCCCCGGGGACTTGCTCACGCTTCCTGGTACCACAGAGCACTTGCAGTTTACCCGGCCCTTTACCATGGCAGAATTGAGTCGCCTTCGTCGCCAGTTTATTTCGTACACTAAAATGCATCCCAACAATGAGAACTTGCCTCAACTGGCCAACATGTTTCTTCAGTATCTGAGCCAGAGCCTGCACTAACTAGAGGAGGTGGGGGGTGGGGAGGGGGAAGCCATGGCTTCTTATCTGCACTGCACATTATTTTTCTGGCGAGAATAAGCTGAAGGTCTCCAGAACATATAAATGCAATACTGTACTAGAGCTGTTGTGACTGATTCACTCAAACTTTCCTGCCTGTCTCTGTGTCAGGCCTTGGGTTTACAGCATAAGTTGAGACTAAAGAGAATGGAGAACTATCGTGGCGCATCCTGGGAAATCCCTCCAGAGAACAGACCTCATGAGGATACGAATTGCTTAGATTGGATCCTACTTGGGATATTACAGAGCATTGACCATTGACTTTCCTCATCTGAGGTGCGGCAGAACAGACTGGATGGATGAGAATTGTTTTAAACAATTGTGAACAGAAACCGAAGATGGCACAGTTCTACATCTGTACCTGCCCTTTTTTCATGCCACCAAAGTATTTTTTGAGTACTGTACTGACTTTTTGCTAGTCTTTATTCTGGGACTGAGTTCACAGATAAATCCATTGGTTTCCGTGCTTGGGAAGCTTTGTTTTTGTGGAAGTAGGACAGTTATCTCCTAGATTATTTCCTCTAATAAAATCTTTTAAAATAGGGAGTCTACTGGAATCCCTTTCACTTAATGTAACAATGTTCCCTGTGTAATTCCATGTAATATTTTAGGTACATGTGTCATTGGTCTGCCTTTAAGTAGTATTTTGATAGTGCTGAGAATATAAATTTTAATCTAATCTAGAGTAATTATAACAATATCCTTAACTGTTGTGCTTCATTCTGTATTTCAAGGCAAATATTGTAAGCTTGCCTTTCATTCTTCATTGATTTCATTGAACAAATGGTAGGTACCTACTTTAACAGTGCCTGTGATTTTCAAAGACTAATTAGATACAGTATTTTTGCTCTTGAGATATGTGGTGAGAGGCCAGGTGTGGTGGCTCATGCTTGTAATACCGGCACTTTGGGAGTCCAAAATCGAGGTCAGGAGTTCGAGATTAGCCTGGCCGACATAGTGAAACCCCGTCTCTGCTAAATATAAACTAGTCAAGCATGGTGGTGTGCCTGTAATCCCAGCTATTTTGGAGGCTGAGGCACGAGAATCCCTGGAACCTGGGAGGCAGAGGTTGCAGTGGGCTGAGATCACACCACTGCACTCCAGCCTGGGTGACAGTGAAAGTGTGTCTCGAAAAACAAAGAGAGATGTGGTGAGAAGTACAAGTAAAAGATAGGAAGAAATGGGCTGGTGGTCAGAGGATGATGGCAAAATGCTTTGGAAACTGGTGAAAAGGACTAACTAGCTGCTAGGAAAGGTGGTTTTGGAAAGGCTTTATAGAGGAGTTAACATTTGAACCACCACTGTAGAATAATGTCAGCAAAGGACCAAATAGTAAATGTTTTTAGGCTTTGTAGACCATCAGATACTGTTGCTACTTATAGATGGCAAGTAAACAAATGAGCATGAATGTATTTTAATAAAACTACAGATACTGAAATATGAATTACATTTAATTTTAACATGTCACAAAGGAGTCTTTAGATTTGCTTTGCAAACATTGAAAAATGTGGAAAAAATATTTGCATATCATGGGCCTTATGGAAGCAGGAGGTGGGCTGGATTTGGCTTGCAGACCCTAGTTTGCCAACCCTTGCTCTAGAAGGATATGTAAATAGATGTTTGCCACAGAGAAAAGAGAAAGCAAGACATTCTAAAACATGCATGGCCTGAAACTATGGAGCTGTTCAAAGGTGAGATAGATGGGCTGCCTTGATGGCGTATTCCTTGCTCATCAGGTAATCGATACCACCTTTTGTTTCTGTTAAGAGGATTCATGTGTGAAATGGAGGTTTGGATGAGGCAAACTCAAAGGGCCTTTTCCAATCTTCATTTCAGTTGGTTATTGATTGAATAGGGTTTAACCATGGATTCTGGATTGCCATTCTAAATTGAAGTAGACTGTAATAGTCAGAAAGAACATTGGTTCTGGAGTCAGACTTATGAGTTAGCTAGTAAGTGGCAGGACATAGGTTTTTGTTTTGGGTTTTGTCTTTTGAGACAAGGTCAGGCTGTTTCCCAGGCTGAAGTGCAATGGTGTGAGTAGCTGGGACTACAGGCGTGCACCCCATGCCTGGCTAAGTTTTGTATTTTTTTGTAGAGATGGGTTTTCACTGTGTTGCCTTGGCTAGTCTTCAACTTTGAGCTTAAGTGATCTTCCTGCTTCGGCATCCCAAAGTGCTGAGATTACAGGTGTGAGCCACTGAGCCCAGCCTAGAATCTAGATTTTATGTGGCCAAATATTTACTCTATTGAGCATCTCAGTTTTCTCATTTCTATTGTGAAACCCTGCTATTTGGTTTACAAGCTTTTACAAGTATTGGAGGTGAGAGTCCATCCAGATGTAAGGTAGGCCTAAAGTGACGTAGCTGAGTAATTCATTTGACACTTAATGAATGAGTTAATTTATGTGTATTTGCAGTAGTGCCTGGCACATGGTAAATAGTATATACATGTTTGCTATCAATGATATATGTGTCAGACACAAGGGACATAGAGGCAGCTAAGAGTTCCTTGTCTTAGGAATCCCCAGGTCCAGTGGAGGGAGATGGGTAAATAATAAATGCAGATCAATATGTTAAATATATGGTAGCTTTTATACAGTGTATGTTGCTATGGTGACATGGGGTTGTGTGATGGAGAAAGCTAATGGCTACCTACCTACATGGGGTCTTCCTACTAGTTATCATTTGAGCCTTGAGAGCCTAAGAGCTTCCTCTAGCCAGTCTGGTTCAGGTGGATTGCATTGCTCATTGTGAACACTTTCCTCCCTGATAATAAAACTTATATTGTAGAAAAATCGTGAAATACAAATGTAGTATAGGAAAACATCCACAATCCCATCATCCACAGAAAACTGCTCTTATGTTTTGGTACATTTTCTTTTAGGCTCTTTTCTCTGTACATATTTTATAATTAAAATCAGACTATAGGTATGTTTGTATCCTAGTTTCTTATATAAGCTACCAATGAAAAATTATTATTTTCAATGATTATATAACAGTAATCATTTAGAAATGCTGTAACATTTTGTTTGTTTGAGACAGTCTTCGGTTGCCCAGGCTGGAGTGTAATGGCGCAATGTTGGCTCTCTGCAACCTCTGCCTCCCAGGCTTAAGCAATTCTCATGCTTCAGCCACCCCAATAGCGGGGACTACAGACACATGCCACCACATCCAGCTAATTGTTTTATTTTTAGCAGAGACAGGATTTTTGTTTTGTTGGCCAGGCTGGTCTTGAACCCCTGGCCTCAAGTGATCTGCCCACATAGCCTCCCAAAGTTCTGGGATTACAGGCATGAGCCACCATGCCCAGCCCTCCCTAACTTTAAAGCCCAAAAAATTTCCAGAATTTACAGAAATGTTAGAATTTATCAATAATTTTGTTACAGCAATTATCTATTATTATTGAACATTTAAATTGTCTAAAGATTTTCCCAATTGAAATAATACTACAGAAATATATTCATACATTAATCTTTATCACATTTTTTTTTGGTGCTGTGACTTGGATATGAATCTTTAACACATTTTATTAGATTTCAAGAAGTGGAATTACTAGATTATAATTTCTTTGTTTTGCTTTTAAGTGGACTGCCCCTGATGGTGATTATTCATAAATCATGGTGTGGAGCTTGCAAAGGTAAGTAAAAGTGCTCAATCTAAATTCAAAACTCAGATGTGTTGTCAAATATTAACATTTAGCAAATACTGGCACTGACTCTGGCCCAGTACTAGTCACTATTTAAGGAATACTAAAGAAATATATGACATTGGCTGGGCGCAGTAGCTTATGGCTGTAATCCCAGTACTTTGGGAAGCTGAGGTGGGCTGATTACTTGAGGCCAGGAGTTGACCAGCCTGGCCAACATAGTGAAACCCCGCCTCTACTAAAAATACAAAAAAATTAGCCGAGTGTGGTGGCATGTCCCTATAATCCCAGCTACTCAGGAGGTTGAGAATCACTTGAGCCTGAAAGGCGGAGGTTGCACTGAGCTGAGATCATGCCACTGCACTCCAGTTTGGGTGACAGAGTGAGACTCTGTATCAAAAATGATAATAATTGGAATGTATGCATATATACAACATATATACACACATACATATATTTATACACACATATATATACATATGTGTGGCAGACTGTCACTCTATTGTCTTTCACTTCAATAGTTTTTGAAATGTAACTATAAAAAGCAAATAATGCTTTCCCCCCTATTCATATGCTATTATTCTTGTTTTATAAATGAGTTGAAAGCTTCAGAGAAACAAAATAAGTCATTCACGGTGACATAGCTATGCAGGTTCAGAATCCAGGTGGCCTAATTCTTTATTTTTAGAGTATTTAAAAAAAAAAAAGCCAGGCACGGTGGCTCAAGCCTGTAATGCCAGCACTTTGGGAGGCTGAGGCAGGTGGATCACGAGGTCAAGAGATCGAGACCATCCTGGTCAACATGGTGAAACCCCGTCTCTACTAAAGATACAAAAAAATTAGCTGGGCATGGTGGCACGTGCCTGTAATCCCAGCTACTCAGGAGGCTGAGGCAGGAGAATTGCTTGAACCCAGGAGGCGGAGGTTGCGGTGAGCTGAGATGGCGCCATTGCACTCCAGCCTGGGTAACAAGAGCGAAACTCCGTCTCAAAAAAAAAAAAAAAAAAAAAAAGTTTGTTATATGAATCAATTCAAGAAACGCCTAAATTACCAAAGAGAAATAGTGATGCTTATGCTTTTTAAGGTTTGAATATGACAATGATGTTTTTTCTTCTATTCCAAAATCTTTTCCCCCACAGCGCTAAAGCCCAAATTTGCAGAATCTACAGAAATTTCAGAACTCTCCCATAATTTTGTTATGGTAAATCTTGAGGTAAGATTTTGAGAATTTCTTCTTTCTGCTATGATTTTAAGACTTTTAAAATTGACATCATTTGTGCACATTCATTATAGCTTCATTAATGGTATAAAATCAAATTTATGTATGTGTTTTTCTCTTGACCTCTAATACTAAGGCTTGCATCAAATGTGTTAGAAAGCCATCTAGGCTGGGCGCGGTGGCTCACACCTGTAATCCCAGCACTTTGGGAGGCCGAGGCAGGCAGATCACGAGATCAAGAGATTGAGACCATCCTGGCCAACATGGTGAAACCCCATCTCTACTAAAAAATACAAAAATTAGCTGGGAGTAGAATTGCTTCAACCCAGGAGGTGGAAGTTACAGTGAGCTGAGATCACACCACTGCACTCCAGCCTGGCAACAGAGTGAGACTCCTTCTCAAAAAAAAAAAAAAAAAAAAAAAAAGCCATCTAACATCTATTTCTGGGAGGAATTGGGAGAGGAGAGATTGAATAAGATGACTAAATTTTTTTTTGACACAGAGTCTTGCTCTGTCACCCAGGCTGGAGTGCAGTGGTGCAATCCTGGCCCACTACAACCTCCTCCTCTTGGGTTAAATCAGTTCTCCTGCCTCTGCCTCCCAAGTGGCTAGGATTGCAGGGAGGTGCCATCACGCCCAGATAATTTTTGTATTTTTATTTATTTATTTATTTATTTATTTAAGACGGAGTTTCACTCTTGTTACCCAGGCTGGAGTGCAATGGCGCGATCTCGGCTCACCGCAACCTCCGCCTCCTGGGTTCAGGCAATTCTCCTGCCTCAGCCTCCTGAGTAGCTGGGATTACAGGCACACGCCACCATGCCCAGCTTATTTTTTGTATTTTTAGTAGAGACGGGGTTTCACCATGTTGACCAGGATGGTCTCGATCTCTTGACCTCGTGATCCACCCGCCTCGGCCTCCCAAAGTGCTGGGATTACAGGCTTGAGCCACCGCGCCCGGCCTTGTATTTTTATTTATAAATTTTTCTTAAATTATTTTTTTTTTGAGACAGAGTCTCACTGTCACCCAGGCTGGTGGTGCAGTGGTGTAGTCTCAGCTCACTGCAACCTCCTCCTCTGGGGTTAAAGTGATTCTTCTGCCTCAGCCTCCCCGAGTAGCTGGGAGTACAGGCATGTGCCACCACACCAGGCTAACTTTTGTATTTTTAGCAGAGAGGGGGTTTTGCCATGTTGGCCAGGCTGGTCTCGGACTCCTGACCTCAGGTGATCCACCCACCTCAGCCTCCCAAAGTGCTGGGATTACATGTGTGAGCTACCATGCCTGGCCAATTTTTGTATTTTTAGTAGAGATGGGATTTCACCATGTTGGCTAGTCTGGTCTCAAGCTCCTGACCTTAGGTGATCCACCTGCCTCAGCCTCCCAAAGTGCTAGGATTACAGGCATGAGCCAGCACGTCTGGCCTGAAGGTGACTAACTGTTAAGGTCCTTTTATCTTTATGATTATGACTTGTTTTACATCTTTGTAAAGCTAGGCTAAAGGTATAGTCATATATGCAGACCACAACTTTCTGCAAAATGTGATTCTATTATAACCAAGTGAGTTTAATGGAAAGTGCCACACTCTGAGTTCAAATCACGAGTCCTTTATTGCCGGTGACTGAGAGTCAGCTCACTCAAATCTTTCAGCCCCAAGGAAGGGATGTGATTTCCTTTTATATGTTACTCAGGGTAAGGGGGCAAAGCAGAATTTTACAGAAGCAGAATAAGCGAGTTAGGGGAGTAAACTGCTAACCAGGGGAGGTGGAAGTTCTTGTGATTGTTGGTTACTGAGGGGATTGATCACAATGAGCGAGGGACTTGCCAAGCAGAATGTGATTACAATGGTTGCAAGATTGTGGGTACAGCGTGACCTGGTGGTGCACAGCGTGACCTAGTTATGCACCTGGGGGAAACGTGGCAGGGAGAGAAGCTAAGATAGAGTCAGTTAGGCCTATATCTAAGATGAAGTTAGTTTGGTTTATCTCAATTCAGTTGAGTGCTTAATCTGTGCTGGGCTTATATGTGCAACCTGCTTATTTCCTTATGAAAATAGCTTTTATGTACCTCATATAGGTTACAGGCCTTGGAATCCTGAGTCATAGAATGTCAGATCTTAGAGTTGGAAGAGATTTTTAGGCTATTTGTACTGTCCTCATTTTACAGGAAAAATATCTTAGGCCTGAAGCAGGTACGTGATTTGGTCAAAATCATAGAGCCTCATAAGTGATAAGAACGGATACTCTGTCCTAGCCGTGCTCTCTTTTAGGCTATACTTTCACATATGGGGTACTCAGATGCTCTTGATATACTGCTAGCTGTAAGTTTCTGTAAAGATAATATGTACTTGGGCCAGGCACGGTGGCTCATTCCTATAATCTCAGCACTATGGGAAGCTAAGGTGGGCAGATCACGAGTCAAGAGATTGAGACCATTCTGGCCAACATGGTGAAATCCATCTCTACTAAAAATACAAAAATTAGCTGAGCATGGTGGTACACACCTGTAGTCCCAGCTACTTGAGAGGCTGAGGCAGGAGAATCACTTGAACCCAGGAGGCAGAGGTTGCAATGAGCTGAAATCTCTCCACTGCACTCCAGCCTGGTAACAGAGCAAGACTCTGTCTCAAAAAAAAAAAAAAAGATGATGTTTACTTAAACATAAGTCTGAGAATCTTGTGAACACATTAACAGTTAACAGTGAGGCAGTTAAGGGATTGCTTATGTAGCTAGTGGATAGACTGAATGCTGATTCACCTCACCGTATTGAAGTTGTATTCAAAGAAATGACCCCAGTTAACCCCTGAAATGGGAACCATATCATAAATTGTAAAACTATTAATTGCCTTTGCACATGAATTCCTCAACAGTTTCTGTGGTGAATTGGGATTCTTAGTCTTTTTTTTTTTTTTTTTGAGACAGAGTCTCGCTCTGTTGCCCAAGCTGGAGAGCAGTGGTGCGATCTTGGCTCACTGCAACCTCTGCCTCCCGGGTGCAAGCAGTTCTCCTGCCTCAGACTCCTGAGTAGCTGGGACTATAGGTGCCCACCACCATGCCCACCTAATTTTTTTGTATTTTTAGTAGAGATGGAGTTTCACCATATTGGCCAGGCTGGTCTCAAACCCCTGACCTTGTGATCGCCTACCTTGTCCTCCCAAAGTGCTGAGATTACAGGCATGAGCCACTGCACCTGGCCAGGATTCTTACTCTAAGGAGACAGTAATAACGTCTTCAGGGAGGATTCTCCAACTTTGGAAATTTCTTTTTTTTTTTGAGACGGAGTTTCGCTCTTGTTGCCCAGGCTGGAGTGCAATGGCGCGATCTCGGCTCACCGCAACCTCCGCCTCCTGGGTTCAGGCAATTCTCCTGCCTCAGCCTCCTGAGTAGCTGGGATTACAGGCACGTGCCACCATGCCCAGCTAATTTTTTGTATTTTTAGTAGAGACGGGGTTTCACCATGTTGATCAGGATGGTCTCGATCCCTCGACCTCGTGATCCACCCGCCTCGGCCTCCCAAAGTGCTGGGATTGCAGTCTTGAGCCATCGCGCCCAGCCAACTTTGGAAATTTCTTAAAAAGAAAACTGATTGTGTGGGTTTTTAATCTCCTGGGAGGACTGTGAGTCCACAACTGTAACTAAAATGCCAGTCTTACTATTCATGCACTAAAGAAATACTGTGTGCAAGTCAATGATGTAGGTACTAGGAATATAGCAGTGAACAAAACAGACAAAATTTTCTCATTGAAATGACATTCTAGTGTGGGAAGACAGACAAGTACTTTAGAATATGTCAGATGGTGGTAAATGCTATGGCTAAAAAAAAAGATGGAAGGGATGACTGCAGTTTTAAATAGATGGTTCAAAAATAAAGGGACATTTGAGCAAAGGTCTGAAACAGAAAAGGGAGTGAACCATGTGGATAATAACGGGGGAAGTGTGTCCAGGCAGAGAGTAAGAGCAAGTCCAAAAGCCTGAGTTAGGATTATGCCTGGCTTTTTTAATGACAGCAACAGCAGGAGGTCAGTGTGGCTGAAGAGGACTTAACAAGGAGTAGGACATGAAGTTAGAGAAGTTCCTAGGTGACAGATCATGTAGGGCCTTATAGGCCACTGCAAAGACTTGGGGTTTTGCCCTGACAAGTGAGGAAGCCACTGAATGGTTTTGAGGAGAGAGAGGACATTATCTTACTTAAGGTTTACATTTAATCCTAATAGGATGAAGAGGAACCCAAAGATGAAGATTTCAGCCCTGATGGAGGTTATATTCCACGTATCCTTTTCCTGGGTAAAGCACATGATCTTAATCTGAGAATCTATGATGTGGATGGAGAGAGGAATGAATCAAGGCACTGACTCCACCTAGTGAAACTATACCAGGATGACCACAAACAAACAAAAACCAGGTTCAAGAGAGAGTAGGGGAGTTCTGAATGCTGGAACTACAAGTTTGAAGGAAAACTTTTCCCATTAACTAACTGCTTTTGTGAGCAATGACAAGCGTTTGACCATGCGCAGTGGCTCATGCCTGTAATCTCAGCACTTTGGGCGGCTAAGGCAGGTGAATTGCTTGAATCCAATTTAAGACCAGCCTGGGCCAGGCGCGGTGGCTCAAGCCTGTAATCCCAGCACTTTGGGAGGCCGAGGCGGGTGGATCACGAAGTCAAGAGATCGAGACCATCCTGGTCAACATGGTGAAACCCCGTCTCTACTAAAGATACAAAAAATTAGCTGGGCACGGTGGCACGTGCCTGTAATCCCAGCTACTCAGGAGGCTGAGGCAGGAGAATTGCCTGAACCCAGGAGGCGGAGGTTGTGGTGAGCCGAGATCGCGCCATTGCACTCCAGCCTGGGTAACAAGAGTGAAACTCTGTCTCAAAAAAAAAAAAAAAAAAAAAAAAGACCAGCCTGGGCAACATGGTGAAAGCTCGTCTCTACAAAAAATACAAAAATTAGCCAGGTGTGGTGGCACACACAGCTATTCAGGAGTCTGAGGTGGGAAGATTGAGCCTGGGAGGTCAAGGCTGTAGTGAGTCATAATCGTGTCACTTCCCTTGAGCCTGAATGACAGAAGGAACCTCAATGACCCTATCTCAAAAGAAAAAAAGAGTTTGATCATCCATTTATTCACTCAGTAGCCATTTGAGCACCAGCATATGTCGAGTGCTGTATTAGGCACTACAGAGACAGAGATAAGCCAGAATTCCCACCCTTGACCCTATAGTGCAGCTAAGGCAATAGAATAATATAACTAGACAAATGTCTTTCCACAAACAGCTTTATAAGAGATATGTAATGACCACCTAATCTTTGTTCATCATAAATTCTGCTAGATTTTATGGGGGATATAAATAAAAATCATCAAGTAGAAAAGGAAGCACAAATGTAGGAGGCATTATGGTGATGTAACGGACTGCAAATATGGGCAGATCTTACTTTCCAGAGGGCCTAGTGTACCATGTAGCATTTGAAGTACCTGTCTATTGTAATTGCTGCAAAACCCTGTGCCATTTTGTCTATAACAGATCCCAGTGGCAAGGTGCATCCTGAAATCATCAATGAGAATGGAAACCCCAGCTACAAGTATTTCTACGTCAGTGCTGAGCAAGGTATAGTTATGCTGAAGGGAGGGAGGATTACTGCTAGATTTAACTGGGATGAACCACGTGCAAGGTCTGTGATAGGAAAGTAAATTCAGCATGTTAGCTGAGCGTCTCCTGCATGTCTAGCTTTTGGCTAGATCCTGTGTAGGATATAGGAGAAAGATGAGACTGAGTCCCTTCCCTTGGGACAGCTGACTGACCCACAGGCAGCTGTGAAGAACTGAGGCACACAAATAACTGAGATAGTCACTTGCCCATAGTTTCATACTTAATAAGTAGCAGAGCCAGGATTTGAGTCCAGAACTTAGTTTTTTCCTACTGAGCTAATACTGTTCCTCCTGTGAAAATTCAGAGGAAGAGGAATAGTGTTAGGTGCACAAGTCTGAGGTTTCATAGATATTAAACTTAAATAGGTCGGGCGCAGTGGCTCGCATCTGTAATCTCACCACTTTGGGAGGCCAAGGTGGGTGGATCGCTTGAGGTCAGGAGTTCAAGACCAGCCTGGCCAACATGGCAAAACCCTGTCTCTACTAAAAATGCAAAAAATAGCTGAGCGTGATGGTGGGTGCCTGTAATCCAAGCTACTTGGGAGGCTGAGGTAGGAGAATTGCTTGAGGCTGGGAGGCGGAGGTTGCAGTGAGCCAAAATTGTGCCATTGCACTCTAGCCTCGGTGACAGAGTGAGACTCTATCTCAAAAAACTTAAATGGACCTAGAACGATAAAAATTTTATCTATGGACAGATATGAGGAGGACATTTCAAGCTATGGAAGTAAAGTGGAGGGGAGATGTAGCCCAGCACAGAGTTTGTAAGGTTTGCTAGAGGAATAATGACTGAATTAAATCTTAGAGAATGAGACCTTGTTGGTAGCAGAATGGGAAGAGCATGTTCCAGGAGAGAAGAGCACAGCACAAACAAGTGAAGGAAGTTTGAAATCATTAGCCAATCACACTATTTTGTTCTCTAATCTTTGAGCACAGTCATTCTGGAGGCAGGGGTTGGAATTCATGCCATGTATTCTTACTGTTTTCCTTTCTTTTCCCCTCATCTATGAAAGGGAGTTGTGTGCTAAGTTGCTATGCGTCCCTATTGCCATGCTGCCAGGTTGTTGATCACTTTGATCTGAGTCCTTGGAACTCTTATTCTCAGATTAGGGATCTGTAGATGCTATTACCTTCTCCTGGCTAAGGAGAATGTCATGTTCCTTAACCAAATGCACGTCACTGGAGATTGATATCAAAGGAAAATTTTCTACATGGAAAAGGGCAGCTGGGCTTTAGGTCCCTAATTCTTGTATCTTGAGATTCACCTTCCCTTTAGAAATTCATCCAAGTTACCACTGATGTCTTCACACTGACATAGTCCTGATGTGAACACGAGACCCTTCCCTAAATCCCCCATCTCTCAGCCGACATGAAACTGGAACATTCAAACTTGGCTTTACTAAAGGCATAGGCAAAACAAAAGAGAAATAACAAACTGTATTATCTGGCTCTTATGAGCTTATGGCTTGGCTTTGCAGGATTCATAGACTGTGGCTCAGCCCAACTCCTGGCCTGCTATTATATAGGGGTACTATTGTAGAAGTACTGCTCAGGAGCCTATACTGAAATAGCTGTCCTCCTCAATTCTAAATCCATAAGTAGGATGCCCCAAGATAGACAAGAAGTTTCGTCTCGAGCCTTCCTACCAGGTTTCTCTCTCCCTCTCTCTCTCTTTTTTTTTTTTTTTGGCCTGAGAACTTGTTTTCATCGATATATAGTTGATACTGGAAATGATGGCCCCCTTCAGTAGAGACACCCCCGTCCCAGCACACACACTCCTCAGTGTAATCTGTAACCTCCACAGGAAGTAAAATAAGCGCAACATTCATCCAAAAGATATGGTGGGGACGGTAAGAAGGTGTTTCCACTTCCCTTGAGGGCAAGTGAACATCTACAGTCTAGGACAGGGGATCAGCTCTAACCTAGAGGGTAAGCCAAAATCACTGCTAAGATTTTTGTAGGACTTCATAGTTGATAAAACTCTTTTATTATCCGTTCTCGCATTTAATTTTTTTAAACCCAGTTTCTGTGGAATCTCCCATTTAATTTTTCTAATCCTGTGTGAAGTGAGTAACATTATTTTATTTTATAAATAAGGAAACAAATTCAAAGAGATAGAGGACAGCCGGGCGCAATCCCAGCACTTTGGGAGGTCAAGGCAGGCAGATCATGAAGTCAGGAGGTCAAGACTGTCCTGGCTAACATAGTGAAACCCTATCTCTACTAAAAATACAAAAAATTAGCCACGTGTGGTGCTGTGTGCCTGTAGTCCTGGCTACTGAGGAGGCTGAGGCAGGAGAATCACTTGAACCCAGGAGGCGGAGGTTGCAGTGAGTCAAGATTGTACCACTGCACTCTAGCCTGGGCAACAGAGCAAGGAAAAAGAAAAAGAGATAAATAACTTGCCTGGGCCAAAATCCAGAGCTAGATCTTGAGTCCAGATCTTGTACACTTCTCATATATCTTCTGTATTTAAACATTTAAAAATGTACATTGGTTGTCAAATGTCAAATATGACTTACTTTCTACTTTTTTTCCTCCATTCCTTATTTCACAGTTGTTCAGGGGATGAAGGAAGCTCAGGAAAGGCTGACGGGTGATGCCTTCAGAGAGAAACATCTTGAAGATGAGTTGTAACATGAATATGCTCCTTCTTTCATCAGAGTTAGTGTTCTGTAAGGAAAGCAGCAAGGGAGGGAATACTGAGGAATCATCCAGAACAATTAAGCCGACCAGGAAACCTCATTCCTACTTACACCGGAAGGAGCTCTCTCACTGTGGAAGAGATCTGCTAACAGAAGCTGGTCTGCATGTTTGTAGATCCAGCAGAGAGTGGCAGACTTTCTTCTCCTTCTCCCTCTCTTGTAAACGTCAATTTGTCATTGAATGTAAAGAATAAAATCTTCTGACAAAAAACTTAAGCCACTTGGAGGTTTACTCTTTGCACTTAAGTAGTTGTCTTTTCCCATTTCCTCCCACTTTACTCACCTTAGTGGTGAAAGGAGACTAGTAGCATCTTTTCTACAATGTTAAAATTGCAGAAATAGCTTATCATTAAAAAACAACAGCGCCGGGCGCGGTGGCTCAAGCCTCTAATCCCAGCACTTTGGGAGGCCGAGGCGGGTGGATCACGAGGTCGAGAGATCGAGACCATCCTGGTCAACATGGTGAAAACCCGTCTCTACTAAAAGTGCAAAAAATTAGCTGGGCATGGTGGCACGTGCCTGTAATCCCAGCTACTCAGGAGGCTGAGGCAGGAGAATTCCCTGAGCCCAGGAGGCGGAGGTTGCGGTGAGCCGAGATCGCGCCATTGCACTCCAGCCTGGGTAACAAGGGCGAAACTCCATCTCAAAAAAAAAAAAAAAAAAAAAAACAACAATAAATCCTAAGTGTAAATCAGTACCTCTACCCCCTACCAAGGATATCAGCCTGTTTTTTCCCTTTTTTCTCCTGGGAATAACTGGGGGCTTCTTCCCAAATTTCTACAACCCCTTTCCTCTTCTTGTGCTTGGGCTTCCCTGTTTGCACGCATGTGTGTGCAGGACTGGCTGTGTGCTTTGACTGGGCTCTGGGTGGAAGCATGCTTTCCCTTGTTACTGTTGGAGAAACTCAAACCTTCAAGTTGTAGGTGTAGCCATTTTGTCAAGTCATCAACTGTATTTTTGTACTGGCATTAACAAAAAAAGAGATAAAATATTGTTCCATAAAACTTTAATAAAAATTTAAAAGGAAATGTGCTGTGATGGCCTTTTTGTTATTGGAGAATGGAGGGAGGGATAAAGATCACCTAAGGTCCTGGAGGACCTGAGGTTGGGAGTTTGAGACCAGCTTGACCAACATGGAGAAACCCTGTCTCTACTAAAAATACAAAATTAGCCAGGCATGGTGGCGCATGCCTGTAACCCCAGCTACTCAGGAGGCTGAGGCAGGAGAATTGCTTGAACCCAGGAGGCGGAGGTTGCAGTGAGCCAAAATCATTGCACTCCAGCCTGGGCAACAAGAGCAAAACTTGTGTCTAAAATAAAATTTTAAAAAACCTTTCCTGCCACCTCTCAGATAATAGTATTAACGGTAGGAAATACTGGAAACTCAGTCTTTGCTAAGTGCTCTTCTAAGTGCTTTATATGTGTTATCCCATTTAGTTGCACTTTGGTACTTCTTACAGTCCTGTGAGAAAGGTACTACTGTAATCTCAGAGTACAGAGGAAGAATTTGAAACATGAGGAAGCCAAGACACGGGATAAAGTCAAGATCTTTCCATGGCCTTTAAGAAGCTGCCTTCTTCTTCAACCTTTTATTCCCATTCATGTCTTTGCATTATGTGTTGTTGTGACACCAAATCCTTTGAGTTTTCCTGACAACATGCTGTTTTATGCTTTTCTATCTTTGTTCATTTTGTTTCCTCAGCATAAAATATATTCTCTTTTTGTTCTTCCTTCACACCTGTTTTGAGCCACCTCTTCCAGAGAGTCTTCCCTGATCTTTCTCATGAGGATAAAATGTCCTTTTCCCAATTCATCTATCATAGCCCTGGACCATTTTATACTGAAGTAACCCAATTGCACATCTGGGGCTGTCATCAGGTGGCCATGCTCCTCTAGGGCAGAAGCTAGTCCTCTATCCTGTGTACCAAGGTCCTAAAACTTTTGAGTGACTTGCCAAGGTCTATGGTAGGTTCTCTTCATCTATTCTCTAAACACCATTAGTGGTCCTGTGGAATAGGTATTAGTAGGCTCATTTTATTTTATCTTAAAAAAATTTTTTGAGATGGAATTTCACTCTTGTTGCCCAGGCTGGAGTACAATGGTGCAATCCCGGCTCACCGCAACCTTCACCTCTTGGGTTCAAGTGATTCTTCTGCCTCAGCCTCCTGAGTAGTGGGACTACAGGCGTGCACCACCACACCCAGCTAATTTTTTGTATTTTTAGTAGAGAAGGGTTTCTTCATGTTGGTCAGGCTGGTCTCGAACTCCCAACCTCAGGTGATCTGCCTGCCTTGGCCTCCCAAAGTGCTGAGATTACAGATGTGAGCCACTGTTCCTGACCACTAGCCTCATTTTAGAGGGAACTTTAGAGAAGGCAAAGACTAGCCTTCAGGTTTTGTTTTGTTTTTGACATGGAGTTTTGCTCTTGTTGCCCAGGCTGGAGTGCAATGGCGAGGTCTTAGTTCACTGCAACCTCCGCCTCCCGGGTTCAAGCAATTCTGCCTCAGCCTCCGAAGTCACTGGGATTACAGGCACCCACCACCACGCCCAGCTAATTTTTGTATTTTTAGTAGAAATGGGGTTTCACCATGTTGGCCAGGCTGGTGTCAAACTCCTGACCTCAGTTATCCACCCACCTCGGCCTCTCAAAGTGCTGGGATTACAGGCGTGAATTACCAAGCTTGGCAGCCTTCAGGTTCTAAACTAAATAAATACTGGATTCTAACCAGCACTGTCTGATTCCAAATTTATGCTTTTCCAACCACATTACTTCCTTTACGTTCTGAGGTATCTCATTGGAACTGGAGATTTTTTTCTTTTTTCTTTTTCTTTTTTTTTTTTTTTTCAGACAGGGTCCTGCTCTGTTGCTCAGGCTGCAGTGCAGTGGTGCGATCTTAGCTCACTGCAACCTCCGACTCCTGGGTTCACACCACTCCTGCCTAAGCCTCTAAGTAGCTGGGATTACAGGCATGTGCCACCACACCTGGCTAATTTTTGTATTTTTTGTAGGAATAGAGTTTTACTATGTTGACCAGGCTGATCTTGAACTTCTGACCTCAAGTGGTCTGCCAACTTTGGAGTCCTAAAGTGCTGGGATTATGGGTGTTTGCCACCATGCCCAGCCTTTTTTTTTTTTTTTTTTTTTTTTTTTTGAGACAGTGTCTTGCTCTGCTTGCTCTGTTGCCCAGGCTGGAGGGCAGGGGTACAATCTTGGCTCACTGCAACCTCCACCTCCCAAGCTCAAGTGATCCTCCCAACCCAATAGCTGGGCCCACAGGTACCAGCCTTCACACCCAGCTCATTTTTCAATTTTTTGTAGACATGGGGTTTCACCACATTGCCCAGGCTGGGGAACAGGAGCTTTTCTTTTTCTTTTTTTTTTTTTTTTGAGATTAAGTCTTGCTCTGTTGCCCAGGCTGGAGTGCAATGGCAAGATACCAGCTCAATGCAGCCTCCGCCTCCTGGGTTAAAGCGATTCTCCTGCCTCTAAGTGATTCTTCTGCCTCAACCTGCCGACTAGCTGGGATTATAGGCAGGTGTCACTATGCCTGGCTAATTTTTGCATTGTTTTTATTTTTTATTTTTTCTTTTTTCTGGTTTTGGTTTTTTTTTGTTTTTTGTTTTTTGTTTGTTTTTTTTACATTTTGTTTCTTTTTTAATTTTGTATTTTTAGTAGAGATAGGGTTTTGCCATGTTGGTCAGGCTAGTCTTGAATTCCTGAACTCAGGAGATCCACCCACCGGCCTCACAAAGTGCTGGGATTACAGGTGTGAACCATCATACCCGGCCCAGGAGTTTTCAATCTGGGATATGTAAAGACTTTACAAGGAATACTTGGGCACAGAAACTTTAGTGAATTTTTTTCTAGATCTTCATCTTCCTAAAAGTGATTTCCTAGGATTCCTCAAAAAATTAAAATTACCGGCTGGGTGCGATGGCTCACACTTGTAATCCCAGCACTTTGGGAGGCCAAGGTGGGTAGGTCATGAGGTTAGGAGTTTGAGTCCAGCATGACTAACATGGTGAAACCCCCGTCTCTACTAAAAATATGAAAATTAGTTGTGCTGGGCGCGGTGGCTCAAGCCTGTAATCCCAGCACTTTGGGAGGCTGAGGCGGGTGGATCACGAGGTCAGGAGATCGAGACCATCCTGGTCAACACGGTGAAACCCCGTCTCTACTAAAAATACAAAAAAATTAGCTGGGCATGGTGGCGCGTGCCTGTAATCCCAGCTACTCAGGAGGCTCTGGCAGGAGAATTGCCTGAACCCAGGAGGCAGAGGTTGCGGTGAGCCGAGATCGCGCCATTGCACTCTAGCCTGGGTAACGAGCGAAACAACGTCTCAAAAAAAAAAAAAAAAAAAAAATTAGTTGTGTGTAGTGGCACACACCTGTAATCCCAGCTACTCAGGAGGCTAAGGCAGGTGAATTGCTTGAACTAGAGAGGCAGAGGTTGCAGTGAGCTGAGATCACACCACGGCACTCCAGCCTGGGTGACAGAGTGAGACTCTATCTCAAAAAAAAAAAAAAAAAAAGAAAAAAGAAAAAATTAAAATTACCATGTGATCCAGCAATTTCCCCTTTAGGTATATAACCAGAACAACACGGATGAATCTCAGAAACATACTGAGTGAAAAGATATGCCAAAAAAAAAAAAAGGTATATTTACATAAAGTTTTGGAAGAGGCAAAACTTAGCTACATCAGGAGAAAGCAGATTGGTGATTACATGGCATTCGGGATGGCGGTGAGAAGGGTTTGACTGCAAAGGCACCAATAGGAACACTCTGTGGTGATGGAAATGATTGCAGTGGTTACACAGGTGTCAAAACTCATTGAATCATAAGCTAGACATGAACATTTTATTGCGTGTAATTTATACCTCCATACGTTTGATTTTTTTTGTTTGTTTGTTTTTGAGATAGGGTCTTGCTTTGTGGCCCAGACTGGAGTGTAGTGACACAATTATGGTTCACTAGAGTCTCGACTTCTTAGGCTCAAGTGATCCTCATACCTCAGCCTCCAGAGTAGCTTGGATTCCAGGTGTGAGTGAGCCACTATCCTTGACTAATTTTTTTTTTTTTTAATTTTTTTTGAGAGACAGGGGTTCATCATGATGCCCAGGCTGGTCTTGAACTCCTGGACTCAGGCAGTCCTCTAGCCCCAGCCTCCCAAACTGCTGGGATTACAAGCATAAACCACTATGCCTGATTTTACATTTGATTTTAAAACAATTGTTCCAATTTTCTCCAAAATGAATTATTTCTGAAATAAAGTCTTATTTAGAAACTGATCAATTTGGTTGGGCAGGGTGGCTCATGCCTGTAATCCCGGCACTTTGGGAGACCAAGGTGGGTGGA